GAGCGGGAGAAAAATGTAGAACAAAATTCAAATTCCAAAAAAAGACCAGACTTAGTGGTTTGACAGTGACTGTAGGAACCCCCAGATTATGGCCCCCGAATACCCTACTCAGAACTGAAGCCCTTCCTGAAGTCCATCTTTCAGCCAAAGATTAGACAGGCCTATAAAACAAACAATAACACACATGAGGAATAACAAGCATCAAGCATGCAAGACCAAATGGGCAACACCTGCCCAAAAGCAAAGACAAGAAGGCAGGAAGGGAAAGGAAACCTGAATGAATGGATACAGGGAACCCGAAGTGGAAAGCAGGAGAGTGCTGACACATTTCAGGGATTGTACCCAATGTCACAAAACAATCTGTATATAAATTTTTGAATGAGAAACTAATTTGTCCTGTAAACTTTTACCCAAAGCACAATAAAATTAAAAGGAAAAAAAAACCTAATCTGAGAAAAAATACTACAGAATATAACTTACTAAATAACAACGTGAGCAGGAGGTACAGATGTCTCAAACCCAAAACATAAAGTGAGTTTGAAGAATCAAGGAAACACTGCTGACTTATAGGAAAACATTAAGAGCCCACTGGAAGTTTTTCACTTTTAAAGCAGATATCTAAAATAAGTGGATGTTGAAATAAAAAGGTCAATATTATTCAGCAATAAAAAGAAATGCACTATCAAGCCATGAAAAGACGTGGAGGAAACTTAAATGCATAATGCTAAATGAAAGAATCCAGTCTGCAAAAGCTACTATATACCGAATCATACATACCGTATGACTCCAACTATATGACACTTTGAAAAAGGCAAAACTATAACCCATTGCTGTAGAGTTGATTCTGACTCATAGTGACCCTGTAGGACAAGGTAGAACTGCCCCCATAGAGTTTCCAAGGCTGTAATCTTTAAGGACGCTGACTGTCACGTCTTTCTCCTGAGGGGCAGCCGGGGGGTTCAAACCGCCGAGCTTTCGGTTAGCAGGTGAGTGCTTAACCACTGTGCCACCAGGGCTCCTCACATACTGTATGAATCCAACTATATGACATTTTGGAAAATGCAAAACTATAGAGGCAGTGAGAACATCAGTGGTTGCCAGTGGTTTGGGGGAGGGGAGAGGGATGAATAGGTGGAGCACAGGGGATTTTTAGGACAGTGAAACTATTCTTTATGATACTATAATGGTGGACACAAGACATTATGCATTTATCAATATGCACAGGACTGTACAACACAAATTATGAATCCTAAAGTGAACTACCAACTATAAATAATACTGTATCAATGTTGGTTCAACATTGTAACAAATGTACCACAGGCATGCAAGATGTTAATAGAAGAAACTGTGTGCAGGAAGGAGGGAGGCCTATGGGAATTCTCTGTACTTTCTGCACATTTTTTCTATAAACCTAAAACTGCTCTAAAAAACAGTCAATTAAAAAAAAAAAGAAAGGAAAAAAAGGTCGATTAGTATGTAAACTGTTGCAAAGAATATTCTTTGGGATACATGCTATAATGATAAAGGGGAGACATTAGCATGCACAAAAACCCAAGTAGGTAGTTTACTCACTCCCCACCCCATGCTCACACCACACCTGCCTATGAAGAGGCTGAGAATACCTGCACAAAGGCAAGGTGTCTCCATCTCACAATGTTCAGTCCCAATTGTTTTACAGCAAAAAAGCAGTAGCTTACTTACTGGATAAATTGCATAAAAGATTCCCACACCCTCCAGAGCGTCAATCTTCATATTTTCTACACTAAGTATTTTCTCTGAGGTTTTTAAGGAAATTAGCTGGTGTGTGAATGTTTCTTTTGTAAACCTACTTTGGTAGTTTTGACTGAGCACAGTGATTCTCACAACCTGGTGTATAATGCCCATGAGCTTTCTTTTGTAAGCAATAAAAAAAGAAAGGCTTACTTTACACTATATACCCTTTGGTACCTCTTGAATTTTCAATCTGTGCCTACTTTGGTTATTCAAAACCTAAAGCAACAACTACAACAACAAGAAAAGCAAGTGATTCTTAAATATACTCAGTCTGTGCTGTTTACCAACAGACACAAGGGTATGTAGTTAAACCTGTCAGAAACTTACCTCTGTCTCAAAAGACTTTGTATTAAACCCTGGCTTCATATCTTATAGTTATCCAGACCTAGGTGCACATTACTTAA